GATCCCTGACTACCTATGTAATAATAATCATTAATTTTGTTTATAATCCACAGGAGTCTGCGAGTAAACCCAAATCTAAATCAGCGTCTCCACCTCCTGAAGACAGAGATGAAGAAGTTTCACCAACACCACCTGTATCACAGGTTCGAGTTACGAGACGACGTCGTGGTGCTGTCAGTGCTGAGGTGTACACAGAAGAAGATGCTGCCACGTATGTCAAGAAAGTAGTTCCAAAAGATTACAAAACTATGGCTGCTCTTTCCAAAGCAATTTCCAAGAATGTGTTGTTTTCTCACCTGGATGATAATGAACGCAGGTATGTTTCCTCCATGTATCTTTTAGGGTATTAACCAGGAATTTAAAAAGTGCCTGTCAAAAATGTAATAAAAGGGCGATTTTGGGCATTATATTTTACAAAATTGTTAAAGAACATTGGAAAAACAGAAAAACGAATAAAATAGTTCTGGTCAAGTTGACAGGCTGAAAGTAGCTGGCTAATACACTGAATATCATAGGATAGTCATTGAGTTATTGGAGAATTTACTTATGTTACATTTATTATGTTCTTATTATTCTGCATGCTGAAGATATTTGAATGTTTAGCTACTGCTGGTGTTTTTAACAATCCATGTCACCTAATACTTAATAGCAATTTTTGTGATGATTGGTGGCAGACTTGTAAGGAAATTACTGGTTGGTTTGTATCTGATCTCAAGCATAGTTTTTTGCACTTGTTAAATTGGCTGAACATCTTGAACTTGCACTGACTTGTCTTCGTGATCACTTCTTTACCATGTATGAGATACATTGACAACACCAAACTAAATCTTTGCTATACTTTCATGGAGTTCATTTGATTATTACATATTCACAAAAATAATTTGCATCTCCAAGGCCTTGCTCACTGTGATATTATGCCCTACAGCAGCGTAAGCTACTATTATACATGTAGTAGAATTGAATCCTCTATAATTGTATGAAACTAGGAAGTTTACCTGCAGGCTTACAGTGGGTACATTTAATTCTATAACAATTTGTCATTGATATCCTATTCCAAAACACTATTTGATTAGCTTTGTGTCGGCATAATAGTTTTTAGATTGCAAAGTTGACCCTGGTTTGTTACATTTCTATGTCATTTATTACAACAACAACAACAAATATATTATACAGATGATGATCATGATTGTGCTAATTTACAATATTTTTACTTTCTTTATTGCATTTCTCTATAAATAAATGGTTTTCAGTATATGTAAACAAACCTTCAAGATGTATTTAGAATCAGATATAAACGGAAGTGGTTACAAATGAGATGATTAGTGGGTTTAATATTATGCTACTATGTAGCACTCCCTAGCAAAGTAGTTATCCTGATAGAGCTGTATATAACTCCCTAGCAAAACAATAAACTTTGCAGTTAAGTTATATGTGTATTAATACGGATTATGCTGCTGGTTTTGTCTAGTTTGAAAATAATCATAAATTTATACATACATTTGTTTGTTTTAATTTTTTAATATGTAAGAATTTAAATACACCTACCCGTATCCAATATTTTTCCAACAACAAAGAAGCCGACTTCATGTGCTATGAAAAAACTGTCACTGATTATAAAAACGCAGGTCTTCCTCTGAAAACAAAATGCTGATTTGCTGGGTAAATTATCTCCTGTGGAGTTGTGATGCATTTATTTTATGATAAATGCCATCATGGCTCATTTGATAGCATTTATTATGTCTGCAAATGTAGTGTTGTACAAGTTCGGCATTGGTGTGTTAATCATCTGCTTTTGTGATATATTTATATCAATGTCAGATTTCACCAATTATGGTGGTAGCTATGTCAGTAAATAGCAGTACACTCAAATGTGCATATGGCTCGTCTTTTGTTGCTGCTGGTATGACCTCAAACAAACACTATAGATCCTAGTTTTCAACGTATTATGGAAATATCTTCTACACATATGTTAAGGATTCTGAGACAATTATTTCATAATGCTATATGTAATAATGTCTTGACTAATGAAATGGAGTAGTGGACTGCCTGTAAAAATGTAAGCAATTTGATGATGGCTTTTGTGTGGACAAATTATTATTAAAAAATTAAATGGTGTCTAGGAAATTTGTACCTTTATATTTAGTCTCTCTCTCTCTTGTTTTATCCATCAACAGCGACATTTTTGATGCCATGTTTCCTGTTAACCACATTGGAGGTGAAAAAGTAATCCAACAAGGTAAGGCAAAATTTCTTGATTATTTTTTTGCTTGTAGGGTCGATCAGCTGTCGTTTTATATATATATGGCCTCATTAGAGACAGAGCTTGTAATCAGAGTGTGAGATTTATGCCTTGGGTAGTGTCACACTCACCCTTTCAGCATGTGTAATACCTTGACATTTACATTAACCTCTGTGTATATTTGCATCATGTCTTCATTAGTCTCGTTATTTTGTCTGTGTTATCAAAGTCACTACTCAAAATTCTTATGTTTGCTTTAGCTAAAAATTTTGATCATTTAAGTTAGTTTGTGTGTTGTTGTACACGTATCTGTTGAAAGTCATCATTTTTTTCTGCTTTTGTGCCATTTCTGCCTATTTCTCAAATTGATAGTTTGTTGATAGCTTGGTACTCAGTCTGTTGTTGTACTTAGATGCAGTGTATTATGTCATGATCCAATACAAGTGGTCATTTTGGTTGACAAAAATCATTTGTGCAATTCTGATTTTCGTCTTGGAATACACATGACCATTCATGTTGGCAGAGTGTCAAAATGGTGATTCATTGTGTTAACTACCTTGACCTATATCTACATTCATTCAGTGTCTGTAGTAAAGTCATGTATTTTTATTAGACTTATTAGTTGCTCACTCATGGTATGCCTGTATGGTATGCATCAGAGATTATTTCAATTACAAATCTTACACTTGAACGCTTACTATGCAGGATTGGAATGTTAACCAATGATTGTTTGAACTTGGCTAAACTTGATGGAACAAATGTATTTTGATTTAGTTATCATTGGTAGTCAAACCACCTATGCTGGTCTTACATGGTTTCTGTTTTAAATTGTCAAACTTGTGTATAGCTACCTCCTAAATGGATTTCATTAAAATGATCTTTATATGAAGGTTGCATTAATTTTGTTATGGATCCCCATCTTGTACATTTTGACACAATATTTGTCCAGAAAATAATGTGAGATGGTACTGTTGCAACAAAACAAATTTGTGAGTTGATAAAAATTAAACAAGTTTGGATTGTTTATAATTCTAATTATTATTTTGGTGTCTAAGCCAAGGTGAATCTGTAAAATTATTGCTTAAAGACTAGTCTATATACACAAGTTTCTCATACATTATGTCTTACGACTGTCACTATAGGCAGGTAGTCTTTATGCACAATTTTCTCGTACGTTGTGCTTTAGGATTAAATAGAGGCGGTCACTAACACAAGTTTGACTGTACATTTTTAGTCCCCGTTCAGGCGCAGCCTGAAAAGGGGACTAATAATTCAGGTTATGTCCATAATTCCGTCTCCAACATTTTCTCAGAAATTCTACAGCAGATATCAGTGAAACTTGGCAGGTTGATGAACATGTCCCCTCCGAGTATGCACGTAATTTTTTTTCCAGATCTGAAAATCCCAAGTGGGTCTTTTTCATGATTTTATCAAAAATTGCCTCTCCCGGCAACATTGACAAAACGTCTGCGCATGCTCAGAATAAATTAATTACTGTAAAATACTTTATTTTTGCTTGCAACATTTTTTTGCTATTTTCGCTGAAGGAATGTTTCAGTTAAAATAAAATCCAGCGAATATACCCTTTTCTTATATTTTACATCACTTGTCAAAATCAATGAAAATAAATTCATACAAACACCCAGAAAAGTCTTTTCAGCGAATGA